TATTATAAATAATATTCTTATATTTATTCGCTAATAAGTCGATAATAAAGTCTATAGAAATTTTCTTTTATAGCTTAATAATAATAAAAAATAAATTTAATTTATTATAAAAGCGATATCGCGAAGCTTTAATTCGCTAATAAATATTATATATCTTAATATAATTAATAACTTACTTTAAGCTTTTATCTTAATAATATTTATAAATAAATAGTTTATATATCTTTATAACGTTAAAGTATTTAAATAATAAATTATTATAATATTTATTAATAAGCTTTTTTTTAAGATCTTATTTTTAGAGATATAAAGATAACTATTATATTTTAATAATTTTTTAAAATTTAAAATTTATACTTAACTATATATATAACGCTTAATTACTAATTTATTAATATTAATTTAAAAAAAGCTTATCTAATTATTATAGATTTATAAATCTTAAATTAATATTTTTATTAATCTTTAAAATATATTATAAGTAATCTCTAATATAGTCTTAAACTCTCTTTTAGAAATAATTATTTAGATATTAATAATATTAAATATAAACGCTATTATTATTATAATCTCTTATTTCTTTATAATTATTTATTATTAATTTAAAGTATAAGTTTATTCTATAGTATTAATAGTAGTTTTATATTTAATAACGAAATTTTCTTATAATTAAGATATTATAATAACGAGTTAATAGAATTTAATTTATCTATTTAATAAAAAATCTTAAAGTTATAAATAGCTAACTTTAACGTCTAACGAACTTATTTAAAATTTAATTTTTTCTACTTTATAAAGTCTTTAAGATTATTATAATTTATTAAAATTTTAATATAAAATATATTATCTTTTAAATAGTAATATTATTATTTTATAAACGCTATAATAGCGAGTAGCTCTTAATTATAAGTCTTATAGTTTTACTTTATAAAAATTATTTTTCTAAATTAAAATATTACTAATCGCTAATAATTATTTTTATTTAATTATAAAAATATAATTTTTATATTAAAATTAAAAGCGTTAATTTTAAGATATAGTTTTAAATTTAAATTATAATAATATAGAAATAACGCGATTATAAAAGTATTTTAAAGCTATTAAAATATTAATTTAACGTTATCTATTTACTCTAATAATTTAGATTTTTTATTATTCTTACTCTTTTTAAATAAGTTAATAAATAATATAACTATATTAAAATAATTATAAATAAATTATTAATAGAAATTAATAAAATCTAAAAAGATTTATATATTTTAATAATTTTTTAATTTTAATTACTTTTTAATAATAGCGATATATTTTTAATTTATTATAATATCTTCGATAAATATAATAAACTTTAAAAACTTAATTTATTTAATATAGAATTAATACTTTTTAAGATTAATATATAGTTAAAATTAATATAAACGCTTAAATACTTACTTACTAAATTAATATTATAAATTAGAATATTATTTATATATATTATATATATTATATTTATTAGATTTATAAGAATTCTATTAATATATATTTAAAAAGTTATTAAGATATTAATAAGTTTAAAAGATATAATTAAATATTTAAAGTAATTATAGCGACTATAAAACGCTATTTTCTACTTATTACCTTTTTTAATTTAAATTTAATAATAAATATTCTTAAGATTTAGCTTTATAAAGATTTTAAATTTATATAAATAATTTAAAGTCTTAATAATTAGAGATAGTAAGTATCGATTTTTAATAATTATTATATTTAAACTTCGATAATTAATATAAAGATAAAATCCTTTATTTTTTTTAAAAATAAAAAAAATTAATATTTCGATTAAGAAAATTAAATAATAAATCTAATTTTTCTAAAGAAAGTTCTTTAAATAGCGCTATAATTTTATTAATTTTATTTAAGATAGATTATATAAAAAACTATATAACGACTTTTTATCGCTTTTAATCTTAATAATATAATCCCTTTACTTAAGTATAAATAAGATTTCTACTTTTTTATTAAAAAAAATATTATTAAACTCTAATAACTTCTAAAAAAGCTTTAAATTATATTTATTTTTTAATTCGCTTTACGCTATCGCGATATATATAATCGCGAATATATTTAACTTTTATTTAATAATTTAAATAAATTTAGCTAATTCTTTAATCTATAATTTATTAATATTAATTTTAAATTACTATTACTTTATCGCTAAATTTAATAATACTTATAATTAATTTAATCTAGATATATTTAATATAATATTAAAATCTTTTTAATTAATAGTATAAAAGAGTATATTATACTCTTTACTCTAATTTTAACTATTTATTAATTAATAGTTTAATTAATATATATTATAGTAATATATACTTTAATTATTTAGCGCTTCTAATTACGATAAAATAGCGTTATTAGATTTTAAATCTTATTAAATATAAGAGCGTAGTCTACTAAAGATTAACTAGCGAATATAGATTATAAAAAATATAGAGTCGTTATAGAATTTAATAATATATTTAATAGTAGAACTAATCTCTAAGAAATATTAAAACTTCGAGATATATAAAGTAGATTTATATTCGTTAAGTCTCTAGATATATAAGATATATTATTAAAATTAAACTCTGAAAGAGACTCTAATATAATATATATGATATTAAAGTCTTAACGTAAATAGCGTTAAGGCTTATAACAGCATTAGGCCTAATACTAGTCTTCTTCTTCTTTTTAAATTTCTTAATATAATCTTTATTCTTTTTAATCTACTTAGTAAAGATTTAATTAAGATTAAATAGCTAGTAAATTCTATTATAATAAAAGTTATAGTTATTATACTTAAGTTTAAGAGTAGTTTTATTATTATTATTATTATTACGATTTTTACTATTATCTTTTTAATTCTTATTATTTATAAATATAGCTTTATTATTAAAGTTATTAATACTAGTTAATTTTTAATAATATTTCTTATTAAGAAGTTATTTAACGATATAATTAAAATCTAACTTTAATAGTTTTTCTCTAACGTCTTTATCTTAATTATTTAAAACGATTTTTATAAATAATTTATAAGATAAGAAAAGTCTATAAAGAAAGAATATTATAATCTTTTATATATATTAATAATCTAACTTAGCGAGTTTTATTTTAATCTTTTTAATTATTTTAATATATTTAATAATTTCTTTATAGTTAGCTAAGCTTATATAACTAATAATTCTTTATAATACTTTATAAAAGATATATTTTTTAAGTTTATATATATCTTCGAGTACTTTAATTATTTTATAGATATTATAAATATTTATAATTAGTATATATAAAAGAATAAGATAGAGCTAAACTAGAAAACCTTGAATTTATATATACAGCCAATTATCAATTCGTTAGGTCTACGCTTTTTGATTAGACACCGCGGTTAAACAAATTAGCGTCCGTAATTATTAAAAAAATAGGTATACGTTATTAACACATAGAATAACTTTTTTATTTTCTATTAAGTTTTTGAGATTTTTTTTTTAAATTGTAAACCGGAATATAGGCTTTTAGATAAAAAAAGAGTTTCTAAATTTAGTCTTATAATTATTAAAGCGCAAGGAATTCAAATATCGCTCACCAAAGTTCGCTCACTAAAGTCCGCTCGACAGCCCTGATCAAAAAACAGGTGCACATTATTTGGTTTTAAAATAACTTTTTTGTTTTCTATTAAAATTTTGAAATTTTTCTTTTAAATTATAGAAGGTAATGTGGGCTTTCAGATAAAAAAAGAATCTTAAAATTTAGTCTTATAGTTCTTCAAAGGTAAGGAATTCAAATATCGCTCACCAAAGACCGCTCACCAAATTTACTCGACAGCCCTGATTAAAAAAAACGGTTATGAATTTAATTCATAGGCCTTTACTCGTATAAATATAACTATTTAACTTAAGAGATATATAAATATTATTTTTAATTTATAAGTTAGTAAACTTTTATTTATTATATTCTTTCTCTTCTTTTAGCTAAGTTAGTATTTTAGCGAGAATTAAATATATTTTAATTATTTAATAATAACTATATATTATTTAATATTAATAATCTTAATTAAATACTCTCTTAAGTATAGAGATATTAACTATCGATAAAGATATAGCGAATTTAAAGATCTTCTTAAATTATAACTATTTAGACTTTATCTTTATTTTCTTAATTCGTTAATTATATAATTACTATAACTTCTCTAATATAAATATAATAGACTATTAATCTTTACTATCTTTTTATTCTAATTTACTTATTATAGCTAGAAAGACGTATATTTATATATTTTAGAAATTTAATATAATTAAAATATTAATATATTACTAGTATTAATTAAAAGTTTATAATCTCTTAGCGTAGTATAGTAGTAGTAATAATAGAGAAGCGTATAGATTTAGTGATAGGGCTATTAGCTATTATATAGCTGATGGAGAATAAAGTATTACTATCTATAGCTAGCTATATAAAAGGAATAATAATGAAATATATATAGAAGGATGTAGAAGGGACGCATGCATAGAATTGAAAGGAACTAGACACGCTGACAGTTCCCTTTCCTTATCGGCACCATTATTTCCTATATAGTCTGGGAGTCCACAGCATATGCACGGAGATGGTCTGAGAAGAATGCGTGGTTGAACATTCTGGATGGTGAGTCCTGTACCTGCCGGCCGACAATTCCAAGCACTAGTGGATGATCATGATCTCCAGCACGGATTGCAAGGGGCGAAGCATGGTCAATTGTCCGCAAGGTCTGGCCGAAAAGACACAGACATGACGCCTAATAGCCACCACGCATCTTGCAATATCTCCATGTACGACTGAATATTTGGGGAACAATTTTAGTTGTAATGACACGGTCTCTTAAAAGCACATAAAGTAGAGCCTGCTGGTTGCTCATCCTGACGATCAGATTTGGTGAGGTTTCCGGACTTAATATAAGAACGCAGCACAGCAATGATGCTTCAAATGACAGCGGACTGGCAGTGTTCACTCTAAGCATCAGCTATTACTCTACCAACACCCATATTCCACTGCAAGGCCGTGAAGCCTCCGTTTGGAGGTATGTACTCGTCCAAATCCAAGATGTCCGTGTCTTCGAATAAGTGCTGGACATGATGGGACCTCAGTGGAGATGTTACCAGCAGTTTGATCAGGCACCCATTGGCAGATCCTGGGCCCCCACGGGTCAATTCCATCATGGTTGACAGGACTTCCATGCATTCCTCTCGGCGCTCCTCATCCTCATAATAGGAGATCCCATCGATGACAATGAATAGAATGGAGCCCCTTGGCAGTGCTCCTACCAGCAAGTTGAAGAGACTGCAGAGTTCGAACAGCTGCGGATCATTCTTTGGAAGGGACAGATGGTCGAGCTGCGGTAGGAAGGAACACTCAAGAAGCTGAACGATGAGCTGTACAAGCATATTGCTCAACATACCAGGCGGATGAGCTTCATAGTCTGTCAATCCTGGACCATAGTCATAGCAATTAGTGTGCTGCCCGCAAAACCACCGCACAGCAAATACGGTACGATTTCTTGATGTCTGTGAGGACGTGCTGGGCGGGAGGATGCTGTCTACAAGCTTGGTGCAGAAGTACGAAAGCGGTGACTGCCGGGTTTCCCCCTCACTGGAAAACATTTGCCCATTAACAATGAGCGGAAGCGATACGGTACTCGTCAGCCACTTCTGTATAACCGGCGATGTGATCAATGCTACTGTGCGATCCTGTGAGCCCGAGCTTAGATTTCCAACTATATGCAGAAGAATGGAGGCGTCTTTAGCTGCGGTGTCAGTTTCGCCATCGACCTCGAAGATATTCAAGAGGTCTTTGAGCCGCTGGCGAGATCTCTCTTGGTTTCGAATTGCGCCGGGCGATGGAGAACGGCCTCGAGGGGTCTGATAGCCACCGGTTGAATCTTCGCATTCAAGGTACGTCGGCCTAGGCGGTGCTTCGAATATTTGGGAGGGAGTCGCCTTCAAAGTATTAAGCAATTGATTGAGCAGGTTTGCTTGGCCTTCCAGCAAGCTTTCTTGTGACTGGATTCGCTTTTCTTGCAACTGTAAAACTTCCATCATGTCGTTCTGCTGGAGAACGACCGTCTTGAAACCAAGGTCCTGCTTCCTCGTTGATGTCACCAATAACCTCGTCAAGTCTTTTCCTCCATCGAACTGGCGTTTTTGAATCTGCATAGAGCAGATCTTCGCTTGACTGACAAGCCTCTCCCCGCAGTCTTGCACGCTCTTGATTTTATTCTGAAGCTCTTTCCCACTCCGTTTTTGTTTCAAGAGTGCGGAGCCAAATCGGTCTACAATGTGTCGGTCAGCCTGTCCCTCTCACAGCTTCGGTACACACTTACGTGCAACATGCTTATGATAGGTTTGAACAACATCGTCCAGCGTGCTCAGAATAGCAACATAAAGATCAGCGCTACATTGATGCAGCTGCAGGGAGTCTTGGAAAATGTTGATATACTCCTTGGCCTTGGATAACCTTGACGGAAGGTCCTCAATGAAGTTCCTGACGTCTTCGCGAATCTCAGACATTTGTTGGGCGGCCCCAAGGATCAATGTCAAACCCCCGCAGAGCACAGAAAGATAATGAGACTCTGTTGGCAACAGTTTGAGCCAGGACTGAAAGGTCTCGCTATTGTCTCCGAACCGTCGGAGTTGTTTGTACATAATACCCTTGATACCTCGCGACGTTACGTTCTCGCGTTCTTGAGAAAAGCTCTCTTGCGCATATAAGACGTCGTTCCAAGTGTAGTCTGCGTTTGTGTCCATCTGCATGGATCCACTTTGTTTGGCAACCGTATTGTACTTGTTGACCGTTGCAATAAATTCTCGTTTCTGGATCTCCGCTTGTTTATATATAGTCACCCTTGAGGATTTAGTATCCATTGTCGCGACAATGTTCGTACCATCCTACATACAAGTTGAGTGGGGCATCGTCCGCAAGTAGCGCAAATTTCTCCTTGTCAGTGTCGTAGACGAGGCCATCAATATCGGTATTGAAAGCCGCATGGATTGTACCGTCGAGCCTATTTTGCATCCACCTTCCTGCGTCATTGACAGGATACTCCATGACGTTCACAGGGAGGTCTACTGGGGTTGCGCTGGGAAGAGTGCGGTTCGAGTGTTCCATTGAGATCTCACAGCACAAGGTACTGGTTACAGTTGGAACTCACGAATGCACATAGCGCGGAATACTGATCTTGACCAAGCATAAGTCTTTCGAGATCTCAAATATAACCGGGCACAAGGACTCGCTACACCTCCCACAGCCTTGTCCGACCCCGACCGAATACGAATAGGTGGGGTGGGAACCAATTAAATTTACCAGACATATCTGGCCCCATCGCAATCCGGCAATCGATGACCAAATCGTGCAGGGGGACCACCATCTCAGCAGGCTCAGCGGACTATGCCCTCTCTTTTGGGAATTACCGGAACCACGGCAACTGCAATGGCTTCTATTGATTGGGCATCCTTCAAGCTGTGTTACAGCGCCTATTTCTCAGCCTGATCTTCTATGTGCTCAAGCGTAATGCGAGTCCGTCTTTGTAGCCCCTCCGCGTCTATTCTGGCACTTCCCACAATCCAGATCTCAGCATTCGTTCCTTAAAATTTTCGTTTCATAGCAGCCATCCGCTAGAATAATCCTCAACCAGTTACTCGTGTCGAGATATTTGATGCCCATCTCGTGCAGCATTTTACTTTACCTGCCTTACTGAATTCATGCGCAAGAGTAGTCTTTACCGGGAGCCTCCTAGAAGTAAGCCAACGACACATTTCTATGGACTCAACCTCAACGGCTGGCGACCTTGCCTCTGACTAGCTTCAGAGAGTCCCCAGCGCTGCGTCCCTGAACCCCGCTGAGCCCCGTTCACAAGCAATGGAAGTTCATTCTCACCCGGTACAGCATGGAGTGAACGAGGAGAATGTACAGACTCGTGACTCCGCTAATCAGGAACTGCTTCCGGACTCTCCTGAGGCTACGAATGCGGGTGCACAAGCAGGTACTAAGGAGAATGCACACTCACCTCCCAACGACGTCCAAGACGATGTCAGCATTTCGAGTGAACACCTTATGGATGCAAGGGTGTTGCAACCAGTTGATTTCAAAAAACCTGAGCACTACCCACACTTCTTTGAAGCTTGCAAAGAAAAGGGACCCAAGTACGCCCGAGTGGCAGCACTTTACACGGAGACCCTCGAAAATCGCGTTGGCGTGCTAGAAAAAGAGTTACTAGAATTACATTATGAGGTCGGTTCCAAGGAGAGACCCTATGAGAAAAGGCAAGTCATGCACAACATTGTGATCCCTAGGTGTCCTTTGTTCTAATTTCGCTGTCACGTAGCAATGGCGATAAAGCAACTCTCGACTCACCGTGTGCCGACCCGTTGCCTCTGAAAGTCATGCAATTAAGCTTGAACTATTGGAAGAATGGTCGGCAATATACGAAATGGGACAAAGCTTCTATTTTCTTGGCTACTACTACGGAAACGTCCTCTTCTCAGCTTGAATTTACTCACTCCAGCACTCACAGCCAAGGAACGAGTCATCGACTTACCGACAAAAGGATGAATTACGACAAGAAAGGCGACGTAGCGGACACTCAACGTTCAGGGCTCTCGGATATCGCAAGGCTCACATTCAGATCTCCGTGGCCATTGATATTGATAGAGCTATTGAGCGGCGAACATATTCGCCCATCCGAAACGTGGATCTACCCTTTTAAGCACATCATTGCTTACGAGAAACAAATCCGAAAATGTGTGGAACTACTGAACGAAATTAACGTAGATGATGTTGAGGCACAGACCTTGCCTCATAATCTGAACAAGATTGTTAGTGAGGTAGTCAGAATTTTGGGTCCGAAGAGAGACGACGTCGAATATTCGGATGACTACGTCTCCAATGTCTTGCAGAAAAGTAACGCTCTCAACAATCATTATCTGAAGGTAGAACAAAGCTCGCCAAAAGACAAGGAAGAGGAGCTCGAAGACAATTCTGAAGCGGAATCCGGTATGTCCAGCGTGTCTCCAGTTGATGACACGAATACCCAGATCTCGGAGCGATCAAATCTGTCACCAGACGCGAAACCGATCCCAGAGGAAGTTCCCTATGTGTGCACATGCCTTAGAGATGCCAGAGACCACCTGGAGCTGCTTGTCAACACGATCGATTCGCGTTTGGGGTCACTGCTGACACTGCGTAAGGCCATTCGTGACCGAGCAATCTCAAATCTTAGATTTGAGCACCTCTGGCATCTTTTTCAGCCGGGCGACCTCGTGGTGACTTCTAGGCAGCCTCACCAAGCCTACCGTGTTATTCACGTCAGTGGGGGTCGGCCATTATTGACGACTACTGACATTGCACGTGGAGATAAAGATGCTGAAACAAGACGAACTGGACCTTCCGCTGAAATCTTCCGCCGGCAGTCCCAGGTATCGCTTTTCAACATCGACTGTGTCAGATTTGATTTCGATGGCGAGAAGTTTGGTCCTGTACAGGAGACTATTAGTATACTCGAGTATGAGGGAGATAGGATGATCACGAAACTCGATGTGTATCCCATGAGCTACGCAGAAAAGGAGGAAGAACTTGCAAAGACACTACTCGATCGAGGTCGACGCTTTGCTGAATACCGTGAATTTAAGCACAAAAGATACGAAGGGTTGAGCCTCGGTGAGCCGGAGGAAGAGGTAAGCGAAAATCGTGAGCTATTCATGTTAGAATAGAATGCTGATGGTCGCTTCCTGAGCGAAGATAGAAAGTGAGGTAATCATTGATTTCACGCAATCATTCAGGCAACCCGACTATGCATCTCACAAACCCCAGATAGGACTTAAAGGAGCGACGAGAGCCGACGAAAGGGAGGTGTACGAGGATCGTTGCGCATCAGACGAAGACCAGTGCCTGAAAGTGGATCACAACAGTCTTGTTGATGACACAAAATTTGACAAGCTGCAAATGGATAGATTCCTCAACGTCGAGTCACATGGAATGTTCCTTGAATCCCGTGGTGTTTCTCAGGTCTTGAGCGAAGACCAAATGATTCTTTTGCCGTATCGTGTACAAGGCTTCTCTTTGCGAAGCCGCAAATGGGGTTCGTCAAATTTCACCAATGTGGACTCATGATGCTAATGATTACTCCAGTCCCACTGAACATCGACCTTCTTCAAGACATCAAGGAAAATGATGCTTTTGAGGGCCAGAATGCGGGTTTCGATGATTTGGTCATACCAAATGAGTATAAAAGGATAGTGAAAGCTTTGGTCAAAAGTCATGCGCTCGGCTCACGGCCCGTTGAGCACGGGGTTACACATAGACAGCAAATCGATCTAGTCCGTGGAAAAGGCAAAGGCTTGATTATGCTACTCCATGGCGTCCCTGGAGTCGGAAAGACATCGACGGCGGAAAGTGTGGCATCTTACACTGGAAGACCATTGTTTCCTATCACATGCGGCGATATTGGACAGACTGCTTATGACGTAGAGAAAAACCTTGAGGGTATATTCCTTCTAGCCCGCAGGTGGGGATGCGTGCTCTTACTGGACGAAGCGGATGTTTTTCTCGCGAAGCGAGAACGGGGCGGGGACAACATTGATCGGAACGCCCTCGTTTCCGTCTTCCTGCGCACTCTCGAGTACTACTCCGGCATACTGTTCCTGACTACCAACCGAATCGGCTCTTTCGACGAAGCCTTTAAGAGTCGCATACATATCTCCTTGTACTATGCCCCACTCGACGAAAGCCAGACGTTTGAAGTCTGGGCAATGAATCTGAACCGGCTGAGCAAGTCAAATCGCGATATTTACGTCGACAGATCTGAGATTGAAGCTTTCGCCAGAAGCCACTGGAAAGATGGCAAGCGATGGAATGGCCGTCAGATTCGCAATGCTTTCCAGACAGCCGTTGCACTGGCGGAGTACGAATTCCAAGAAAAATGTCAAAAATGCGAAAAGACAGGCGACAAGCCACCATTCAGGCCGGCGCTTGAAGACCGGCACTTTCAGGCGGTGGCTAAAACGAGCGCAGAATTCGACGACTACCTCCAGAGCGTCATGGGTGGCCAGACTCATGAACAAAAGGCGCAGATCTCTGAGATGCGAAGCGATACATACAACCCTGAGCGGGGCACAGACACCCTGTCGGGCAAGAAGCATGGCTATCAGCGAGCGGTGAGGCCCAGTCGCTCGAGCGAGCAAGCCCCTAGCCGCGACAGCGACGCTTTCACAAAGCAAACGGTGACTCCGCCGGTCACCCCCCAGCTTTCGAATACTATATCCGTAGGAGAGAGTGCGGCGCTGGACGAAGAGGAAGAATATAGGCAGTATAAAGCTGAGCTGGAAAAGAAAAAACAGACGGAGAAAATGGAGCGGTTCAGGAAAATGCATGAGATGGAACAAAAGGGTAAATAGGCCCTGTGCCGAGGAGACTCTGGGATAATCATTGGGCATTTGTGCTTGGGCATTTGTTTGGTTGCATAAGACTTCTGGTAATACTTACATCGACTCTGTAACATCTTTTCATGACACAACCGTTGGATCTAAAACTCTGCTATTGCAATCGGACATTTGTGTTTCGTTACATTCAAAGGCTCCCTGACAGAATCCGATTTCCAATTGAAGAGATCACATCCTACTAGATACTCCCTGGCTAAACCGTCCCTACGTCTTGATGACCGGACGTCTCGGTTCGACACCACCCACCGCTCAAGAGTGCAATATCTTCCGACAATGCATTCTACCTGCAGTGTGTCCATGTGCGCTCAAACATATCAGTCTCAGTCGTTTGCACAGTGCGCTGGAGTAATTTCGCTCCCCCAGATATTGGTTTTGTCTTGCTACGCGCCACAAGGCGGCGGTAGAGATGAAGAAGGCACTCAAATAACCCGCCAAGCTCAATTTGGCAGAGCACAGAGTAAGTGAGTGCCAACAAAACTGACAGTCGAAACAGTAGTCCGCAAACGCTCTAAGTTCCAGGACTATCGACGTTAATGGGGCGCTTTCAAGAATCTCATTTTTCTGGGTAAGTTTGATCACGGATGACACATTTACACGGGTTGATCAGTAAAATCTGATGTGAAACCAAGAGAATCTCAACTTCTCACACTGTCACATTCTTCTTTGGCAGCTTGGCCTGAGCATTGAGATGGAAGCGCAAGGATTCGGAAGTGGGTGCGAGTGCCAGTTGCGATGCGCGAGAACAGAGAGGCGCTGGCTAGGCGAACAACCATGAAATACAGCCGTCCATCTTTCAAGTCGGACATCATCCTCAAAAGAAAAAATGCGGACTGCATACTGCCTCATGCGTCTACTCCAGTCCCTGGGAGCCTCTCTCGCGGCAACGGTTCCCGCGACATCACTGTTGACCCTGTACAACGGTGCAAACATTAACCTGACGCTCCCTCCCAACTCTGCGCTTCTCTCCAACCCAAGTCTTCCCAGTGAACTCGTGTAAGCCCACTATCTTGCCCAAAGCAAATAGGCGCCTGCCACTGACCCACCCCCTTCCAGCGTCCCCGCCCCAGCAGCACCCTACTACATAGAGGAAGGCCGCGCCTTCCTCAAATTCTACGACTACGGCGCCGCTCTCCCGCCCGCGCCCGCGCAGGAACTCCTGCGGACGGCCTTGGATGCCATCACGCACGGGCACGGAGTCGACTCCTACAGGAAAGTAGGTCGGGAGGTTATATATTCGCAAACACTGGACGCGGGAGCGGGGGTTTTGTGGTTGTCGGTGGAGCCGGAGGCGAATATGACGTGGGGGGAGTTTGAAACTGCGGTGATGGGGGCCGGGAGGTTCTTGAGACGTTGGGATAATGTGGAGTTTGCCGTTGATGTGGAGATGAGGATGGAGGCGGGGGGCAAGGTGGGGACGGTGTATCTGAGTCGGTATTGAGGTGGGTGCGGTGTGAGAGGATGCAGGATGGAGCATGGCGTGAAAGTTGATAGATTACCTCTGAAAGTAGAGGCGGGGAAGATTTTTTTGTTCTTGACCGGACGGACAATCGTTATACGAACGGTACGACCCAAACCTCGAGCCAAGGCTATTAGCGTATGCAGAAAACGTTGGAATACTTGGCACTGAGAAAATCACACACACACCACCAAAAGTAGTACTGAATAGATGAATCTTCTCCCATATCGCATTCTATCACCTTCCTTATTATATTTAAAGCTCCTATATATCTCGCTTAGTCGATCCTTAGTATTTTATCTTAATATTTCGAAATATCTCTTAATCGACGTAATTAGAGATTCTCTCTAGAGATAAAATATCTCGCTAATATAAATATATAGATAATTAAGTATCTAAAAGTAATAAAGAATTCTATATCTACTATATATCGTATTATTATATAATTAGAGATTTCTAATACTTTAGTTAGAGGCTTTAAGATAGACTTAAAGATATTTAAGTCTTAATAGCGATAGATAAAGATCTTAATAACTCTAAGATAGTAGTAATAATAGTTTAGTCTTTAAAATCTATCTAAATATCGCACTCATTAAGAGCTCTATTTAACTTTCTTATATTCGTCTTAAAGATATAGCCTCTTATAGCACTATACTTAAAATACTCTCTCGAAAAACGATTATATTAACTTCTTCTTATAATATATCGTAAGATATTCTAACGATAGCATTAGATCTTTAATATAGAAGTAATAAATAAATAATTCTAGACTAAATAGGCGAAGGTAAGCCCCTTCTATCGATCGTTACGAGGGGTATTTCGAAATAATAGAAATTGGCTAAGCGAGATATACAGAAGCTTTAAATATAATAAGGAAGGTGGTAGAATGCGATATGGGAGAAGATTCATCTATTCAGTACTACTTTTGGTGGTGTGTGTGTGATTTTCTCAGTGCCAAGTATTCCAACGTTTTCTGCACACGCTAATATGTCTTGGCGCTGTCCTCTGTATCGGGCGAATTACTAATTCATACCCCAAAAGTATGGATCCTTACCGAATCATACCCCTAATTACTGAATCATACCCCTACACCAAATTTCACCCAAATATGGGGTATGATTCGGTAATTTGCCATTGCTTGGGGTATGATTTGATGAGGATCTTAAATGATAGCTTTCTGATATAAGAGGGTTTAATGAAGTTAATGGTAGCGGTAGGCTTACTGAGCGTTTGATAGTAGTCGTCGACTTGATTATTGATGACGGTGGTATTTACGCTGCGCAACGGGGCGGGGTTCGGGGCGGGGTTTGACCCCCGAAGCTTACCTCGCTCCGTTGCGCAGCGTAGTAGAAATTATTCTTTCGGGGGCCCTACGGGGCCTACGGGACCCGAATAGGGGTGTCTGCAGCGTGAAGTGCGGACACCCCCGGGCTCGAAATTTCGCCCACTCGGCTTTCGTCTGATGTTTTTAGGCTGATAGAATTCTCATCAAATGCGGTCGGAGAAACTCCCTTATTTCTATGATCGAATAAGCCAGATCGCGGATTATCTCCTTCGTAGTTTGAGGCCACTTTAACAACTTACCAAATAAATCATACCCCAAGCAATGGCAAATTACCGAATCATACCCCATATTTGGGTGTGATTTGGTGTAGGGGTATGATTCGGTAATTAGGGGTATGATTCGGTAAGGATTCGTACTTTCGGGGTATGATTCGGTAATTTGCCCCCTCTGTATCTATCAAGCAAGGCTACACCACACAACTTCCATTCCTCTGCTCCCTAAGGCAGACAAATGGCAACCTATTTTCGGAAGGAGAAATGTTCCTCCTCGTCGACGTCTGCGCCTAGAAGCCGCTTTGCAATAAAAAAGACCCTTTAAACCGCCGTAGTTGAGACAGAAACACCAGACGTGTCGCTCCCGTGACAGCTGGTATCATCACCGACCAGCGCTGGCTTGCTTACATTGTCATGGGCGATCCGGCAAGTGCCATGGCGGCATTGGGTCTTGCCGCCAACATCGGGCAAATGATCGAATACAGCATTCGCATAGTCACGAAAAGCAAAGAGCTTCGTAAAAGTCTCGACGGGAGCCTTCCCGAGAATCGTCACAAGCAAGTAGTTACCGAAAGCCTTCTCAGCGCCAGCTGCACCCTTTCCGCCTTCATCGAAAGTTGTAAGGCTGCGGATAAAGCTTTGAGTCCAGAGGATGAGCATCTGCGGGATATCTCCAGCGCGTGCGGTGCCATTGCGAGCGATCTTTTGGATGAGCTGGAACGCTTGAGATTGATGTCTGGTACTAAGCATGTCAAATGGAATAGTTTCAGGCAAGCGCTCAAAACTGTCTGGGGGAAGGCTAAGTTGGATCTTTTGGCTCATACTTTGGAAATGTATCGTAATGAGTTGAAGACTATTCTACAGATCTCGATTCTGTAAGTACGAGATCGATCATCCTTTCTTTAGTAGAGCTGATCTATGAATGCTAGAAAACGACTAGACGTATCCGACGGTCGGCTGATAGGCCTCGATGAAACCTCGCAGAGCATATTGAAAGAAACCCAAGCGAGTCGGAAACTGTCAGAAGATAATTTCATGGTACTGCTAGAGAGCTTTCGTCGTCTTCATGTCTCATCTTCAGGCGCTAATTACAGTCCTGTGAGCCGCCAAGTCGAAGGCGTCGGAGGATACGATCTGAGATCCCCCTTGGATCATATCACAACGTTCGACTATGACCATACCGGCAAACTTGACCACCTCGTTCTATACAGACCAGGGCATGGTGCCATCTTCATCGTCAGAAACAATAACAACAACTTCACTCCAGTCTATGCGCAAGCGGATGGCGGATCAGGAATTGGGGGCTATGATCTCCAGGATTCGAGGGATCGGATATTTGCCTTCGACTATAGCCACAGCGGCAAACTCGACCACTTGGCCCTTTACCGTCCTGGAACGGGTACAATGTGGATCCTCGAGAACAAATCCGGCGTCTTCAATGCGGTATATGCTCAAGGAAGTCCAGGCGCCGGAATTGGCGGCTACGACCTCGCGTCCTCTGCAGATCGGGCCTTCGCATTTGACTACACCCACAGCGGCAAACTCGACCACCTGGTTCTTTATCGCCCTGGAACGGGTACAATGTGGATTCTCGAGAACAAATGCGGCGTCTTCACTGCGGTATATGCTCAAGGAAGTCCAGGCGCTGGAATTGGTGGCTACGACCTCGGGTCCCCAGCCGACCGAGCCTTCGCCTTCGATTGCAGTTCCAGCGGCAAACCAGATCACATTGTCTTATACCGGCCCGGTACGGGCACCATTTGGATCTTGCAGAATCGACGAGGGGATTTCTCCCCAGTCTACCACACAGGGGACCCCGGTAGCGGGATCGGTGGCTACTTCATCAAGTCGCCTGATGACAAAGCCTTCGCATTCGATTTCAACGGCAGTGGCATGGCTGATCACCTAGCCTTCTATCGCCCAGGGGCTGGAACATTCTGGATACTGGAAAACATTCAAGGGGTTTTCAGGTTTGTGTTTGCTGAAGGAAATCCTGGTACCGAGGGGGATTCTGGGGGCGGGATCGGAGGTTATGATTTGCTTTCGTCTGCTGATCGGGCGTTCGGATTTGATTATACGGGAAGCGGGAGAGCGAACCGTATGGCTCTCTATCGGCCAGGTACCGGGACGTTTTGGGTTTTGCAACGTGATATAAATAATACATGAGGATCGTCTCTCCCTCAGATTTGCGCACGTGAGACGAAGACACTACTAGGTCACAGGCCGGCCGAACCGGACGCAGTCGCCACAATTGTTGTGTGCGTGTTACTCAGCACTAAATCGTTAGTGGTCCTGCTTGATTTTGACGATACAAATCAGATGATCTTTTGGACAATTTTGCTTGGGCATCAAGATGTAGGGAGACGGACCGTCTTCCACAACGTGCTGACAAGCTACTCACTCATTAGACGAACAGGCCATAGACGTTTAGACTAATAGACATCCTAGGCACCCACGCGACTGTACGACTACGCATACTTTTCTGCTTTTCTCCGAGCCTCTGAAGCCTCAAAACGGCGGATCAGATGCCCCGTCTCACTTGCACGTAATTTGTCGAGCCCTGGAATGTGACCCCAAAATCGCTGCCGCATCTCATGTTCGTCGAGCTCGTAAGGTCATTGGACTGTAAGCTCGGCGTCAATCGCCGGCGAATGCTCCTGTGGATATCCAGCCTCAGTACCATACATGGCTAGAAGTATGGGCTCACAGTCGAAACCATCTGCTAAATGACAAAATCGGGGAAAATAAGGAGGCTTGAGAGGAGCAAGAGTGCACAGATTTGAGGCGTGGCAGCCATTCTACGGCCCCTTGATACAATGGCAAGCGAACAGTGAAAAGCCAGACCGCAGAGGCTGTTCTGCACATGCTACCGATGTGCATTTTCGCAATACGGGTCGAGGGTAGATGTATGTGTTGCAAGAATACAGCATGGAAGCAAAATTGTTGCTAGAATCTAACATACATAGTTCTACACCCTCTGACCGCTGGGGCGGTCCGCTCCTGGAAGATGGTCTCCGGGATGCCCGCCAGGACCTCAGCTCTGGGCGGCAGACTGCACTCATACGTCCGAGCGTATACCATGAGCACTGTGTATGCGGCGGCAGTGATGTAGTGAGGGCAGTGTATGAAAGGGAGTGAAAATCGGGACGATGATACAATTCGGCAAGCTGGAACGGCCGTTGCGGACGACGAGTCGGGGTTTGATCGTACGAGAACACTGGTTGGAACTGGGGACCTTATTTGGTGTCTGAATCAGGAGAGAAGAGTCTTTTCAAGTCGGGAGGGTATTGTGGATAACTGGAAATGGGCACCACATCAAGATCTCGAGGAGATCCCTTTCAACACCACGACGCGATTGTTTCTACCCTCACGGTCTCTCAACGATGGCACAGGCCTTGAGAACGTTGAAGAGACCTTTGAGCAACGTATCGAGAGTGTCGTGCGAGAAATGGATCTGATTTCAACACAACGGACGTGCGCGTCTGAGAAAAATCCCCGTGGATAAGCCCGCGCAGAAATGCGTGTATAAAGCGGGCTCGACAGAGATGGATCAATCTACGAAGCAGACTGTAAACAGTACGCCATTTGTAAAAAGAGAACATATGCCAGGATTCGAGGTCATTTCCAACCCTGCGAAGCCAACCCCACGAAGCCAACGCCGTTCAATCCCTTCTTTTACAACCATTTTACACCCAGACCTGGGTACATGGTGGCTTTGAGGAAAATGAAGTGGATCTATCTTCGACACCAGATCCGTCGACGCTGGTCATTGGGGTTGCGAAACGGGCACAGCGCATTCTTTATTCGGTTCGATATCGGAAGACATTTTCCAGAACGAGGAAGGGTTTGTTATACGCATCAATTACAATTCCGCGGCCTTGATGCCTTCAGATACAGCATGATTGCTGCGGCTTCACCGCAAGTGGAAGTACAAGGGTGGCTGGCGCTCGTGGGTGTAAGTTGATCTACCAAGCGATGCTGGGAGAAGCTACGAGCCCTTCCAAGACAGGAACCAGAGACCGCTTCGTAGTGACTCTGCAAAGTGGTGACAAGTGAGGTATTTTCTCAAGGCGTTCCACGGTGCGGTCGAGCTGGCTCCAATGCAAAACAAGAGCTTTGGACTGGGAAGTGTGCAAGCTGCGGCTAGTGAGGTTCTCGCTGGCAGCACCACAGAGTAGAAGGCAGTGATCAGTTCTCAGGAGCGGAGTGCTGGCTCTGCGTGGGTTCGGAAAACTATATTGAAGCTTCCAACGCCGGGTCTCGGGGAAATGAAGGATTCTCCTGGTCTAGATACCTCTTTATAGCGTGTCGACTTTCAAGATATACAAGCCTTCTCTTTCTATCCTGCTCCCTGAGCCCTTCCTAGCTTCTTCCAAAACCATTCCCAAGTCCTGTGTTGAGTCGATGTATTTCCCACTCATATATTTTGCATCCGGATCCGCCGCCAGCGCCACAAATGTATTCGCAGGCAATTGCACCGTATCAGTCATACTGGGTACGAAGTCCTCCATGAATCTCTTTACCCCCTCCACCTTCTCATGAGCCTCCGAATTCAGCGCCCCTTCGCCCAACGATGTATCTCTACTCATACAAGGGTGCACAGCGTAGGAGTAGATGCCATGGGGCCGAAATTCAAGGTCCATGATATGAGTAGATCGAACGAGGGCTGCCTTGGCGGCACTGTAGGCTGAGAAGTAGGGGAGGGAGATAGTTGCCAGAACGGAGACGACCTGTGTGCTCGTCAGCTTACATCGACCCGGCATCTCCAACCAATGAAAAAGATCTCACGTTAATAATGACCCCACGCTTTCTTTGAATCATACTCGGTACCACCGCGTGAATGAAGTTCAACGCCCCCCTCACATTCACCTCCACAACCTCCATCGCGGCCCCCATCCCATGCTCATGCTCCACGTCGCTGATCCTCGAGATCCCCGCATTGTTGACCAACACATCCACGGGCCCGAGCTCCCCCTGCACCTCCCCCACCACCCTCCCCGGCGCGTCCGCGTCGGCGACGTCCGCCGCGATCGCAATGGCGCGCGGGTGGCCCTTCTGTGAGATCTCGTGGACGAGGGAGAGGGTGTCGGAGTGGGTGCGGGAGACGCAGGCCACGTTCGCGCCGGCGGCGGCGAAGGCGAGGGCGGAGGCTCGGCCGATGCCTCGACCGGCGCCCGTGAGGAGGATGACCTTGCCGTTGAGGGATCCGGTGAACTTGGAGGGGGAGATGTAGGGGTAGGTGTCATGGTGAGTGGCGATGATGGATCGAGGGTCTCGGTAGAGGTTCGACATGTTGGCCATTTTGACGGGCGAAGTTCCCAAATGCTGCGGTGACGACTGTTGAGGTGTGCCCGGGACCTGTAACGGCGCTGCTGTATGTGTACTAGGTTGTAGAGGCCATGTCCTCTTGCGATGCCCCATGTTGCGCCCCGCACAATGTTGGAAGTTACATCATATGGGTCAGAGGCGTTGTCTTTGAGTTTAAACTGTCTTCATTGTGTGGGGCCTCCTAGTTCACCGAAAATTAGCAGACGTTGTTGGCGATACAGAGCGAGCTGTCAGAATGAATGAGAGACCTCAGGCGCCAAAAGGTTTCTGTTAAGACCATGCGGTGCTATCGTCTCCACTTTGGGATCTGGTACCACTTTGACTACCACGCTTTCGTGCACCTCTCTTTGAAAGGGCTCTGTGAGCTCAATCTAAAATATGGGCAGATCTTCAGGTCGAGCGGTTCGTACCACTAAAGATCCTCCGCCAACATTAGACCAGCCTATGCCCTGGGTATATGTCCTGGGTATACAATGTGAATACTGACTAGATTACTATATGGATACTGACTAAATACTTTCTTAAGCCTAAGATGCCAGACGCCCCAGTGCTCCTCGCAAGATACACCCATGCCTTCGATTTCGAGTCCACGTTAAACAACTTTGCGCCCGCTTCAGATAAGCAATCCTGGTGGACTGCATCTGGCGAGAGGACTCTCCTTTGAACATCAACAGCACAACCAGTCCAAATGACCCCAAAACGAAAAAGGCAGACATCCCGAGGGTCCATTGTATCCAAACAGCAGTGACCCGTGGAGTGATGAAATAGCTCCTTGTCGTTCCGAATGAGAGTCGGTAGAAGTTCATGACAATACCAGCTTCGGCTGGATAATGAGTGAAGCATTCGATGTAGTAAGTGACGATAATAGCACGCTGGCGAAAGCCCCAGAGCCAACAGGAAACGAAGCTAGTGCTGAAACAATGGGAGAGTGGTGATTGAAAAGAAATGCGCCAAAGAGGCCGAGCCCGATGGGGATGCACATTGCGGGGATCCAAAGGTTGTGAAGACGGTGTTCTGGTTTCCAAATACCACCACGTCGTCTGAAAATCCACATTGGTACACGGTCATTTAGTAGATGGCCGTAGATCTGGGCGCTGTAGAGAGCGAGCCAGCTGGTGAAGGAGACAAGGTGTACAATGTCAGCTGGACTGGTTTAAACCCTTACCTTTCGGCCAATGCTTACAGTATGCGTTCTGTTTTAGGATAAGCCAAACATGTTGAGCGGCTCTTCGAATTAAACGTTTTGGAGGATTTGCAGCATGACAGTGAAGCCAAAACTAATCACGGCGTACAGCCCAATGATCAGGGCTGCCGGTGTGATACCGTTAATGAGTGGCAAAGCAATGATCCAGCCCTGACTGAATTGTCAGCTCAAGTTGTGGTCTTTCAATCTTGCGACTTACGGTCTCGGCCAGCGTTGTACGCGGACCAATTTTGATGCAAGGGAAGAAGGATGCTATTCTAGTGGGCAAGAATGACTTCGGCTGGGCAGGGTAGAGGCTGTTTTCCTGACGGTCGGATCCAGTCTCTTCTTGAAAAGGAAGATCATAATCAGAGTGAGACCGCAGAGCCCAACCGTCCAGCAAAACATGATGTCCTAGCCCACCGCTGCCCAAGAGAATGGACCCAACGTCGGAGTGGCAACAAAACTCAGAAGGAAAATGATATGGAAGATCCGGCTCTTCCCCGCTCGTGAACGTAGAAAATATCGAACATGATGCGAGTTCCTAAGATAGGAAGAATGGCGCCACACAGTACCGAGAATAATATAGACAGGAGGAAGGGAAAGAACTGAGTCGACTTGGTCATACACGCTCCCCAAACGTTAAAGACAAGAACGCCAAAGACGCTCCAGAATATTACAGAACTTGGACCGCATCCAGAAGCCATAGGTGCGGAAATGATAGGTCCTACGGCTTCGCCGGCAGTATCTGCAGAACCTTGTTTGGCGGGAGAGTGAGCGTTGCATCATCTACACTCAATTGACAGAGCTAACTGAGTACTGTCCATGCGACCTCCGTGGGTGTCCTCCCATAAGTCTTCGCTTCGGGCTGGAGAACGACCAAGACGACCAATGACGAGCCGATGCCTGAGTCCGGCTAGGCATAATGTCGCAAGAATGATAAGTTTCTTGGAGCGACGCCGACTCGATGGGTCTTTTGGATCGTTGCTGGGTTGAGGTTCAAGAACGACGCCAGATATTGATGTTGAGGTCATTAGGTAAGGAGACCTTGCGGACCTTCATGTCAGATATGTTATACTTGGGTCTCTTCTCATTTGCTCGGTGATATTATGCTTACAGACTCTGCGCTACGATACAACAGAGACGGAGCATGAACAGGAATATTTCCCGTCTGTCTTAGGAAAAACCATTGGGACAGGACTACCATTTTAGACCCAAGACCGCCAAGTAGCCACCCAACGCCAGACCACCGGCGAGGCTCGTTGGTCTCATGGAAGGAAAGTTCTATACTCAGCGGCGCAAAGTCAATGACTAGTACGGTATCACATAAAGATTATAGATTATTTACGTAGTCAATTGAATCCACGAAATTATTATACTCGTTGCACCATTCCTCTCCTTGGCATTTAGCAAAGATTTTGTTGAAGAAAAGAATGGTAGCTTGGCGGCTATGTAGGCCGAGCGCGTCTAAAGTACTTTATCTGCATGGTGATGTCGACATGTCGTCGCCTGCGGCCAGGACTCATTCCGATAGAACTAGGACCCATCGGCAGTTGAGTTTGCCCCTAAAGTTGGCCTCCGAAAGTCGGGATCATGACCCCTCAGTGGCATGACACTTTGTACAGCTGTTAACCTCTTTTCTTATTTGATGTGTTTTTGGTTTGTTTCCTCGGAACATACAAGTATTCAATGGACTGCTAGTACACTCAGGATATAATCGCCTCTTTCTTGTACATCCCTTACTTGCTTCACTGTGATCCTATATTTCATACATCAGTTGGTGTACTTCTTCTGAAGCCGTCAAAGTGGTCCAGCCATGGCGCCCACAGCAACAGCAGACTCCATGGTAGATGGAAACATACCGGTTGAAGAGGAAGATCTGATAATTTCCGATGACCTCCTACGCCTCAGAGCTGCAGATAAGATACAAGTGCCATTACTGTGCTTCCCAAAGTCTGAACAAGGTACTATTGACTACGAAAAGTTTACAGGCAAGGATATAGATCGATTCGTGGATCAGGCAGCAAAGTACTATATGAGATGCGGATTACATCCTGTGAGTGAGGCAATCGGGCATGTCCTGCTTTCAGCGTGTGGCTTATGGAGGATCCCAGACCAAGAGCAGCCATGAGACACCTCCAGTGATCGCCCTGCTAGGTCCCACAGACCTTGCGTACATAATCACATTCTTTGCGCTTGCCAGGTTAGGCTACACATCGCTATGCCTCTCGCCTCGACTCGCACCCAACGCATGCGAGAAGCTGATACGAGAAACGGGTGGAGTTGCGATAATACCGGGGAAAACCACACAAATCGCCTCCCTTGTCGCCCACACACAAGAGCTCGTAAAAATTGAGAGGATGAATTTGATATCCCGAGAAGATTTTGATAAGCCAGCATCAAAGGAGCCACAATTTCAGCGCCAGAATGTAGACCGGAAGGCGGAGAAAGAATGGACTCTAGGTATTCTGCACTCGTCCGGCTCGACTGGGCTGCCTAAACCAATCTATCTTCCCCATCGACGTCTCATGATGAAGATACCTGCACCGAAGGGGCAGACCGAGTTCACTACTTTTCCTTTCTTGTAAGCCACATCTCTGAGTTCTCTCTTCCTCGTCGAGACTGTTTTTGATTCGCGAGACATGTTGAAGGAACGAATTACCCATTCTGCCACCCATTCCATTTCTTAAACATGTCTTATTACTCGAATCTTTGTCCACCAATGGGAGTGCTGACTTCGAAATGTGCTAGTCACGGATATGGGAGCTGGGTAGTAGTTCATGGCATGATGGATAGGAAGACGGTTTACATGTACAATCCTAGCTTACCCGTGACGGCGGACTATGTTATCAAAGTACTCCATCATGTCAAGCCCGATATACTGCATGTGGTGCCATACACAATGGAGCTTCTCGCCCAGACTGAGAGGGGAGTTGATGCAATGAAAACTTGTAAAAGGGTGATTTTCTCTGGGAGTGGCGCTCCCGATGATCTGGGAAATGATCTGGTTGCAAAAGGCGTCAACGTAGAAACACTATGGGGTGCAACAGAAATCGGTAGCCTTGGTACCTCGTCCAACCGTGCCCCAGGGGATAATTCGTGGGACTATATTCGGATACCACCGCCTGTGGCGAAGTACATATGGATGAAGCCTTTGGGAGACGATACATATGAATGCATATACCTACACGGATTGGAAGCGCTTGTTGTTTCCAATTCTGACGATCCACCGAAGTCGTTCCACTCAAAAGACATATTTGTCAAACACCCAGAATTGGATGCTTGGAAACATGTTGGTCGTTTGGATGATCGTCTGACCTTGATCAACGGCGAGAAAATTCTCTCCTTACCAATAGAAGGCCGAATCCGACATGATCCGCTCATCAGAGAGTGCTGTATCTTCGGCACTGGAAAGTCGATACCTGGTATCTTCGTTTTCAAAAACGACGAGTCGAGGGATATGCCTGACGAAGGATTTATCAACGCTATTTGGCCTACTATACAAAAGGTTAATGCTCAAACTGAGAGCTTCTCACAGATCAGTAAGGAAACCATAGTGCCTTTTGGAGCCGAGGTCGATTACCCGAAGACAGACAAAGAATCGATCAAGCGCTCGCAAATCTATCGTGTTTTTGCTAAAGATATGGAACTCATGTACGATAGGCTCGAATATACTGGGACTGGCACCTTGCAGCTCGATATACCTGCGATGGAGGATTGGATCATGAAGACGTTCAGGGAAACTCTAAGCGTGCAAATTTCAAGTCCCCAAGACGACTTTTTCGCCGCTGGGGTCAACAGTCTAACAGCGATACAAGTACGTACATTCCCGAGTCAGTCCTCCCTATTTGGTATTCAATTTCCACAAGCCATTTCTTCGGAGGAGAAAGCCCTTCCAAGTCGCTGGAATTGTCCTAAGACTAGAATCACAACCATGTCCCAGGACCAAAAGGCTTTCTACCTTTAAAAATCATCTGGTTTCTCGGTTCCATAGCTGTAAAGAGAGACGCTGACTCCGGAATCTGAGCAGATGAGGGGCCTGATACTGAAAGATCTCGATCTTGGTGGCAACCACAGGAAACTCGGTCAAAATGTGATCTATGATACCGCGAATGTGGCTGGTCTGGCAAGATACCTCGATGCGCTCAGGGTTGATGACCTAACGCCGGAGGATGATGAAAATGAGATTGAGGAAATGGAGGCCATGATCAAAAAATACTCGACATTCCAAAAGCATGTTTCGGGCTCATCGCCCGCTCCTGAAGGCCATATCGTTGTCCTCACAGGCTCTACTGGATCTTTGGGAACACACATTCTGGCCTTACTTCTCACCCGGCCTGATGTGCACAACGTATACTGCTTGGTCAGGGGCGAGAATCCTCAGGAAAGGGTCCTGGAGGCTTTGCGACAAAGGAACCTGAGCATACCAGATACAAAATTCCCAGTCGCTTTGACTAGTGATCTAAGTAAAAAAGATCTTGGCCTGTCACCAGACATGTTTAACAAGTTACAAAGCGAGACTACGACCATCATCCACAGGTATGTTTCCTCCCCTGGTTGTGCTCCCAAGACTTGTCCAATGACGCGCTTTTGTATCATGTAACCGGGGGGGGGAGGCTTGTCTCGATTGTGCTCTTTGATCTCTTGATAGACAGAGCCTCTGCCTCACGTTGGGCTCTTTGGACTTGGTTCAAGCCGCGACCTTGTGGCATAAACAAAAATCATTCCTGCGATGTGTTCCTTAGACTTGTCCTGCGAAGCGTGCTGGTATTGCCAATAGGGATTTCCCCTCGGGTTGTGCCCTTCTGATATCACTCTGCTTTGGGTTTGGAAAAGAGCATGCTGACTTCGAAATTCTCAAGCGCATGGGCCGTGAATTTCAGTTTAGGCATTCGCAGCTTTGAAGAACAGCATATCAAAGGGGTCCACAACCTTGCCCAATTCTCTCTTTCCGTCTCGACTCCCGCACCGGCTCATTTCTTCTTCTGCTCCTCCATCGCCACCGCCCTAGGAACTTCTACACCTGCCATCATCCCAGAGACACCCATCTTTGATCTCAAAGCCGCGCTTCCTCAAGGCTACGCACGCTCTAAGCTCGTCAGCGAGCGCATAATTTGTAACGCAGCTGGAGATGCGGGTGCTTTGACACGCATACTACGCATCGGTCAGATTGTCGGCGATGGGAAAATGGGGCTGTGGAACGATACCGAAGCAATACCACTGATAATTCGCTCGGCGCTCACGCTGAAAGCGCTACCAGCTCTTAATGAGACCGAGTCCTGGCTACCCGTCGACACCCTAGCAACCATCATCCTCGACCTTGCAGGCATTTCTACCGGCACTATCCCAGTTTCCGACTCTGAGACAGATCTGGTCTACAATCTTGAGAGTCCTCACACCTTCTCCTGGACCAGCTCCCTCCTCCCTGAACTGCAACGCTCAGGCCTCGAATTTTCGACGGTTCCTGTCGTCGAATGGTTACAGAAGCTGCGAGAGTATGAGAAGAACGGTGGGGACCCGGAGCGAAACCCCGCTGTTAAGCTGATTGATCACTTCGAAAGCATGTATGGAAAGGAGAAGACCGGGGATGTCAAATTTGAGATCGAGACTGCGGTGAAGCATAGCCCGGCCTTGAGAGAGACACCAAGGCTAGTCGAAGACGGATATATTAGAAAATTCGTGAAAGCTTGGTTGGAGAAGTGGAAAGGGGAAGGGAAAGGTCTACAAGTTGAAAGCTCTGGAAAATTCGTGAAAGCTTGGTTGGAGAAGTGGAAAGGGGAAGGGAAAGGTCTACAAGTTGAAAGCTCTGGGTAGAGAGGCAACCCATTGTAATTATTGAGTAAAACATGCCCGTACTTAAGCTCTTGTCTGTAAGAATGAATGAGGGTGAACATAATCACCTAGGATTCCAACACAGCGTGAAGAAAGTGTCCAACCCTCAAACACAGTGAAGCAATATAGCGGCTTCATTCCGCGATTATCAGTCTACAGTGATGGCACCCACCAGCATAAAAGGTACCTCCTCCACAATCTCCTCTCCACACCTCTCCGGTCTCCAGAACCAAAAATAAATCGATCATGGCCCACAAAGCCATCTCCATCTCCATCTCCCTCTCCCTCTCAAAAGCACCCCGCCGCATCCTCCCCTCCCTCTCCCTCTCCCACTCCCAACCCAGAGCGCCTACATCCTCAAGCTACCCCATCAACCCACCCCGCCCGTCCTCCTTTCCCACAACGCAACCGCACGGCAAACTCCACAACGGACAACTCCGACTCCAGCCTCAGCCCCGGACCCGAAGCCGCACCTTCACAACCGGCCGCCCGCGACGCGCCGCCAAGGCCGAAGCGGCAGAGATCTCGCTGGATGAGTACCACAGGATATCCGACCGGTACATCGACGGTCTGGTCGCGCAGCTAGAGGAGATGCAAGAGGAGCGGGAAGAGGTGGATGTGGAATATTCCGTCCGTGCCCCACCCCCCCCCCCCGACTTCTCTCCCGGCACTTTCACTTCCCCCACTACTGGTCCTACTCTACGTACGTACGTACGTACTGACGTCCATCCCATCACCCAGGCCGGCGTATTGACCTTGCTCTTCCCGCCCCACGGCACCTACGTCCTCAACAAGCAGCCGCCGAACAAGCAGATCTGGCTCAGCAGTCCGGTGTCCGGGCCCAAGCGATACGATTGGGTCGTGCGCGGTGCGGACGGTGACGGGGCGGAGAAGGGGGAGTGGGTGTATTTGCGGGATGGGAGTACGTTGAGCGGGTTGCTGGAGGAGGAGGTTGGTGTTGCGCCCGGGGAGGGGGAGGGGGAGGGGGAGGGAGACGGGTTGTGATTGGGGAGAGATGGGTGAGGATGTTGGGAGGGGCTTTTGGTGGTGGGTGTTCCAATAGGGGGAAAGGAGTTGACTTTGGTACTGCGGTTTAGCGGCATGGAGAGGCATACCCATTGCATTGCGAGAGGCGTTGGTTACTTACTTACTTGCATTCAGGCATGTGGATAAGGGTTCAAGGTCACTGTGGAGCCTCCGGCGATGAACTATGGGTAGAGGATAGAATTCGGCATCTTGTATAGCTTTACATTCTATGCGAAGCATGCAGTCAATGCCAAATGTATACACATTACTCCACAGCCCTCCAGCACACCGCATCTATTCCGCTCCAGCCTTTGATCCTACCCTACGTCTCAATCAAGTCCTCATTCTGTTCCCCATCCGTCTGCTGCTGTCCGTGCTCTCCATCCTGCTCCTCATTATCCCTCGTGTCTTTGTTCCCTCTCTTACCCTTACCACTGCGTTGGTAGAACTCATCTAGGATCTTCTTCGGAATACGATTCAGCAACTCCTTGGGGTATATACGCAGCAAACTCCATGCTAGGTCGATAGACTCGTATATTGTGCGTGACTCGTAGGCAGATTGGGAGATGAAAGTACGTTCGAATTTGTCAAGGAATTCGAGGGAGAGCTTGTCTTCGGAGGAAAGAGCTTCTTCACCAACGACTGCTTTCATAGATGCTGCGTCTCGGCCGATGGCATATTTGGCGTAGAGTTGGTTGGAGACATCGCCGTGGTCTTTGCGGGTATGGCCTTCGCCGATGGCGGATTTCATGAGACGGGAGAGGGACGGGAGGACGTTGATGGGTGGGTAGACACCTTTGTTGTGGAGTTGACGGTCGATGAAGATCTGACCTTCGGTGATATAGCCAGTAAGATCAGGAATGGGATGTGTAATATCTGCAAGGGAAGTCAGCTTCTTCCGAAAAGGAGACATTGCCTGCCATACCGTCGTTGGGCATAGTCAGGATCGGAATTTGGGTGATTGACCCATTGCGACCTTCAACACGACCAGCACGCTCGTAGATTGTGGACAAGTCAGTGTACATGTAACCTGGGTATCCACGCCGACCTGGCACTTCTTCTCTTGCTGCCGAGACTTCGCGAAGAGCATCACAGTACGCTGTTAGATCTGTGAGGATGACCAGGACGTGCTTTTCTAATTGGTAGGCGTAGTATTCCGCAGTTGTTAGGGCGAGACGAGGGGTGATGATACGTTCGATACTGCCACTGTAAGCACAAATGCAAGCTGCAGAGCAAAGGAATCTTACGTAGGATCATTTGCTAAGTTCAAGAATAATGTGACTCTCTCCATACTTCCATTCTCCTCAAAATCTCTTGTGAAGAATCGACTTGTCTCCATATTGACACCCATAGCCGCAAAGACAATGGAGAAGTTCTCCTCATGACCATCGTGGACGTCCTTTGTAGGCTTGTTGACCAAGCCAGCTTGACGACATATCTGCGCGGCGATTTCGTTGTGCGGTAGACCGGCAGCGGAGAAGATAGGTATCTTTTGCCCGCGGGCAATCGAATTCATCGTGTCTATTGCTGATATTCCTGTTGCAATCATCTCTTCTGGGTAGACCTGGCTGCCTGTCAGCTTGGGATATCGTGTTAGGTGTGTTACAAACGTACTCGGGAGTAGGGATTGATCGGACTGCCGTTAATGTCAAGGTAATCTTCCGCAAGCACCTTGGGCCCTTTATCAATGGCTCTGCCTGATCCATCGAAGATGCGCCCCAGCATGTCCTCAGACACTCCGATCTTGAGATTGTGCCCAGTAAATTCTACTTTGGTCTACTGACTGTCAGCGGTGTGCTCGACAGTCTACAGAGTCTTCTCTGACCTTCTTGACATCGATACCGGAGGTGCCTTCAAACACCTATCTAGGATCAGCACTGAGGAAAGCCTCCACGTAGCTTCAAGGCGGATTACTTGGACAACGGCTCGATTCCCTGATCACACGCAGCGTCAGCCCACTCTAGTTGCGAGGCACAGGTGGGAGGGGTTGTACCTCGAGCTTCCAGCACCTGTCCCGATCTCTCTGAGCCATCTGGTAGGGTCAAGGAGACGATCTCGTTGTATCTAGGAAATTTGACCTGACGCATTCATATCAGCTAATGTTCCTAGAATTCAGCTCGCGGTCCTACATTATCTAGAATGACCAAAGGTCCATTGACACCTCCAATTGTATTGTAGCGGATTCGAGGGTGGATAGTAGTCATGCGGGGGTCCTGCACTTCGTTCGCCATTGTAGATGGCGCCTTGAGGAATAGAAGTCCACAATGAACTTGTGATGTGAGCGGAAAAGGCTGTGAAGTTTGTGTCCAAGTTGTCCCAATCTATTGTCCCTCTGCCTTCAAGCTGTAGTGTTTCAAAGGATCACGGAGGGTCTCCGCGGTTGCTGCTCTAGCTCGCCAAGCCGATGTGTTTTCTCAATTCCTAAGGTACAGCTGATAACTCTAGCCACACTTGGGGGCATGTCGCTAAGTCACAGCTCAATTGCCAAGAAACAATCTCTACGCAGTGCTCCCATGCGGATTTGGCGAAGTACGAGAGCTTAGAGCGAATGTCCATCGAGCTAATCCTACGTACTATGCCGTTGTATGCACTGGATTGTTGCATGTAGTCAAATCGTGGTATCTGGCTTACGGAGCTTCCTGCTACATACATGCAAAAGAAAAAAAGACTACTCAAAAACGGAGCTTGTCTCGCCGTAACCCAGAATCTTAACACCATCGTTCACATACCTTGGCCAACGATGGCGTGGACAGCAGGCTAATTGGAGCCTTAACAGGATGTGGGACGTCGATGCAACACAGCAGAGATCTCAACCATGCAGATCCTTGTACTATGAAATGGCACTGGTTGGTGAATGCACGCCTTTGTTTCGGACGCCTCCTCCCACCTACCTTGTCCTGTTCTTTCAAAGACCTGAAGTCAGAGCTTTTCTCTCCTCTCCGTGTTAGCTTAGCTCAGGGTATTGTGTACGTGTCACTCTATGGAGAAGGAGTATGAAGCTCGAGCTTCTCTCTTTAAAGGCGTAGAGTCGAACAGGCCATGTGAGGTGACCTAATAGCAATCCATGTTAGCCCATGGATCATTTCGTCTTTGATGTTGATGACAAGCAGCACTTTGTAGAAAAGGTTCTCGATCAGACTTCCAAGGAAAGCATAATTGAATGCGCACATGATTCTGGCGGCTTAATAGGTTCGTGCACCAGTTCGCGTGAAAACTGCGAATGTGGATTGTGTTTCATCATGAAAGAACCAAGTGTAGGGAAGGAGAGCTACCGTGATGCAGCTTACTTTGAGTGGTAGTGGTGGAGAGGATCGATGGTACGAGTACACCTCACGTAGATGAATTGTCGAGCTTGCGAATCTGGCGGAGTCGGGCATTCGCCTAAGAGCTGTGATAAATTAGCCACCAATCCTGCAACAGCGTGGTTGATAGCAGCATGGATGTGAATGCTTGATGGTCAGACAAATATACTGGCAAGTAGCAGACGCCCGGCGAAGGGCATCCGACAGATTGGTCTCTTCAAGGTCGACTCAGGTGGGAAAAGAAGACTTTTATATTGTTGTCATCGTTCCAACATGTGTAGTATGTAAGGAAGCGTAAAGAGTTCTCATCATTACATACCTCAAGCAGGAAGACATATCCATCGGATCAAACAAGGAAAACAATGATTCGAGCAATGTGGGTTGGACAGAAAGATGTTTCGTGGAGGTGCCCGGCTCTGATATTATTTTGCTATCTAGCGCATTAGTGGAAGACTAGTACCAGAAGAGCTTAGTGGATAGTTCTTGGCCAATGGCCAGTGCCCGAAGAGATGAGCTCGAGCCTCGATGAGGAAGCAGGTGCACTATTTGGAGTCACTGCTGACGACTCGGAGTCCTTTTGACTGGTCGTGATACCTTGAATTTCGCTTTGGCTGACTTTTCTTGCCCTCTTTACCCTCGCTTTTCTGGAAAATCAAACGCTCATTGGTGGAAATCTGAGCGTAATCCCGCCATTCTGTCGCAATCAGAGAGCGTGACTCGGACAGACCGCGAAAGAGACGAAGAGGTCAACTGAAGTGTGACAGAATCGGAGATTGAAGCGAGGCTGGTGGGGCGAGACGTTTGGGCCTTTGCGAGCTGCACTGTAACATTCAACCATCCAACCAGTCACCTGCCGCCTCGAGCTCGACTGCGGCAACCTTTCATACCTGCGCCTCGTTTGCAATAACACATTTCCAGCACAGTGGACGCGCCGGCGACCTTATGAATTTCCGGCTGACCGAGTCATCATGTTGACACACTCACGGCGATCTTCAAGAAAGCTCTAGGATTCCCATTCGCGGGAAGGAAACAAGAGACACACTAAGGCCTTACTGGAGCATAATCATAAGAGATCGTCACGTCTTGCGAAGGAAGTCATACAAACCCAACCGACAAACCCTTGTCCTGTCCAGACCGTGACTGTGTGAGAGGCTTCCACCAGTTGCCCGGTCTCGCGTGAAGCAAACGCCTTCCGACATATCCTTCAAGTATCACAAACCTGCACCCTCGTTCCCTTCCCACTATGGCACAAATGGCCATGGCACCATCGTTTACTACACACCCTGGCATGGGCGGCCACCCTGGCGTTGCTCATGGCGGACAGCCAATGGCCCATGGACACCCTTCGAATCAAGGTGTACCCGGAGGGCAACAGCCTGGAGTCTCGATGGGGCAGCAAATACATCCAGGTATCACAGGGCCGGGAGGGCCTCAAGTCAGCCAGGCGGGACCTATGATGGGCGGAATGATGCAGGGTGGCGGACCGCCAAGTGTATCTGGGGTTGGACCAAGCCAGCACGCATTGTCTCACTTGAATCCACACCAAGGACAGATGTATGCGCAGCAGCAGCAGCAGCAACAGCAGCAACAGCACATGCAACTCTGTAAGTTACAGGTTCCTTTTCCGTCATGATTGTACGATTTTTACCTCGGCCTTGGATGATCATCACCGCTTGA